ACTTGGTTCTTTTATTCTCGACTCAGTCCTGTAATAGAAAGGACAACAAAATATTCCTGAGACCAAATTTATTCAAGACGAAAGAGCTCAAAGGAAGAAAATATGTTCGCAAATCAATTTTTTCGTGCCATCTAGTCATCGATTCGGCTTTTTTATTATTATTTTGATTCATAAATTTGAAAATTTGAAAAAAATTGATCCATTGCTGTATACAGACAGACTTTGAAAAATATATTTCTGGTCTTAATTGCTTTTCAGCGTATTTTCGAGGGATATGGTGCAGCTTTCAGACTATATTTTACTGTACTTCGTGCTCTATAAAATAATTTGATTTTAGTTGACATGTAGAAGTATTCACACGTACGAGTCAAATAAATCAATTTACAGATGCTATATAATGTGAATGCTGATGAATCTAATACACTTTTTCATTCCTTTTCATTTAAAATCCAAAGCTGGGTGGGAGTTTCAGGAAACTGTCGTTCGTCGCTCACTTCCTTGCCTATGCCAACTCCGCTGTGAACCCGTTTCTATACGGGGCCCTCGGAGAAAAACCCGCCTGGTTATCCAACCATGCCGTGGCACTCAGGGAAATCTTTTATCGCTTCTTTCCTCAATTTCTGCCAGTACCTGCTGGTTCAGTAGGAGGTGAGAGACTATTTATGAACAAAACAAAATTGCCGGCTGTCAGGAAATAATAATTGTTTGATCAAAAATTGGGTCATTCCTGGGATTCATTCTCTTTGAAAGGTCATAGGATACTTAGCAGGAAAGGGTCGCAAAAATGCACTCACAAAGAAATGGCTAATGCACTACTGTACTTGGTTCTAAAATATCAGTTTTACAAGCTGCAGTCAAAATGTTCTGAGCGAAAAGGGTGTCGACTCGTTTATGTATTAGCAACCTTAAAATACGAATTTTTTTTCAATGCATGGATTATTTTGAAAGATGCGGGACTATGACAGAAATTTCGATTTAAATCGACAGAAGATTTTGAACTCCCTCAAAAGTGTTTTGCTTGAAACGCAGGATAAATTGAGAAACCGCAAGAAAATCGAATTTAATTTCATCCATGCGAAAAAAATTTATATAAAGAGTTTTATTTTGTGATAGCAAAAAAACCTATCGAATAAAAGCGGGAATAATTAGCCGTCTTATAGGGGCACTTTATTGATTTTGTTAATTTGTAAATCGCACGATAATTTGTTTGAAAAAGCATGAACACCCCCGAAAAATAAACCACAACATCTTGAACTTTTTAAAACTTACAAATTATTGAATCAGTATAATATTTTTAAATTGGTGGTCGTGTAAACTTCTTTCCAAGGTATTTTCAAAGGAACAAACAAACTCAATGTACGGCATTCGTCGTGATGTAGTGTACAATATCATAGTTTTTTTATTTGATTCAAAAAAGCAATTACAAGTTATTCTAATTTTCAAAAACTCGAGGAGTGCCTGAGAAACACTCTGCTATGGAAGCATCTTGAATCTTGAGGAACTTTTCATAGATTCATAAATTTAAAATAATTGAGAAGATAAACTATGGCAGATGACAATACAGTATGAATCAATAAGAATAAAAGAACAATTAAATTCATATTTAATGCAGGTATTCTTAGTTCATCCTTGCAATATTTAAAGTTACTACGGATGACTCAAGAGTGGGGTTCGCGTTTTAATTAGCGAATAATTTTTCTCAAAAATTTCACGCATAAAAATAAAGGTGCGCATGTCATTTGTTGGCACTTGTTACTTGAAAAGAGAAGTACAGTAGTACCAACCCTGTATGTGCAAACAAAATAAGAATCAAACCAAAAACTAGGGGCACTCAAAGCCTAACAAGGGAAACGGGAATTATTCGGAATAGCACTTTGTTTCCTAATATCATCACGCCATTTCAATTTGAAAGCCATTTATACATTATTTTGCGTGATTCCATCCCGCGCATGGTTTGCTAAAATGTTTTCTCGACGAGTCTTCGCATATTGAGTGATATTTACCAGGGTTCTAACAAAAGTTCTCAGGATATACATTTAAATGTCATATAATTGAGCTGAAAAATAATAATTCTTTAGGGAAAACATATTCTTTGGCACAAGAAAAAAAAAATCAGCCCTGTTTGACAAATTTTTTTGAATGTTTTGCAAAATTCAGCCTGGCAGAGTTTTTCTCTCCACTCAAAAGATGAGGCGCCCTTCCTACAGATTTTTTTTTTGCTTTAGCCATCTAAAACAACTGCCTTCACATTAATTGGCGGCTTTTGATGAAAATGGCAGAATTACCTTGGAACACCTGGAGGCAACCCTTGGAATTAATGCCATGCTGATTTCAAGAATTCTGGGGGAAAAAGGTGGGCTACAATAACAAAATCTGCAGGAAGGGCGCCTCATCTTCTGGGTGGAGAGCAAAACTCTGCCAATGTGAATTTTGAAAAACATTCAAAAAAAATTGTCAAACAGTGCTGATTATTTTTCTTGAGCCAAAGAATATGTTTTCCCTAAAGAATTATTTTTTTTCAGCTCAATTACATGTCATTTCAATTTATATTTTGAGAAATTTTGTTAGAAGCCTGGTAAATATCACTCAATATGCAAAGACACGTTGAGAAAAGAATTTAGCAAAACGCAAAATAATATATAAAGGACTTGCAAATTGAAATTGCGTGATGATATTAAGAAATAAAGTGATATTTCGAAGAATTCCCGTTTCCCTTGTTGGACTTTGAGTGCCTCTAGCTTTTGGTTTGATTTTTATTTTGTTTGCACATCATACAGGGTTGGTAATACTGTACTTATTTTTCCAAGTAACTTTTGTTGAAACCCTCGTATTCATGAAAATGTTTGAAGACTCGCTCCTCGCTCGCGAATGAGTTTTCTATCCTACGCAGCGAAGAGTTCGTGACATTCTGACAATGCACGTGATTGTTATCAGGGCAAGACTTGGAATTGAACCTGAGGGAAAACCCGGCCGTTTATTCCGGTGGGCGAAGAATGAGCAGACGTAGTTCCGTGCAAATCTATTCCTACGCCAACTACAAAGAAGATCGCCTGGAAAAAACGGAAGTGCACACTGAAATCTCCCCGTCGTCATTTTGCGAATGCAGGAGTGCGAATCACGCGCAAAACAGTTTCTGATGACGAACACGTGCAATTTTGTTTTATTTTTTCCCCCCAAAAAAGGAAGTTTTTTGTTTTTGTTTTTTTTTTCTTCATTTTGCAATTGTGGACTGCTTGGTCTCGGGGACCAGAAAATACGTGTATATCCAGAGGAAGCAGGTGGAAGTGACGAAAATGAGGCAAGAACCCGTGGCTCCGATTCGGGTTTCCATGACTGGGAAAACCAGGCCGATGAAAAAGGCTGTGAACCAGTTTGCGAGGGTTCCAAGGGCCAGCAACCTGGGTCTTTCTGACGGCTTCGACACCTCTGTGAATGAAAAAGTTCACATTTTGTCAAAGGTAAGTTGAGAAAAAAAAACAAAGGCTCGGGATGATGAACCCGGAATATTGGCAGCAAGGAAATTTTGATATATATTCAGTGTTCCCAGACCTTTTTGGGCCTGCAGGCAAGCAAATTTCCATTTAAAAAAAAAATTGCGGCCCAGACAATTTTTGGCTTTTCAACTTTCTGTGGACTGGAAAAGTTTCATAAACATTTTTGCAGACTCAATCAGAAAGTTTTGCTTGCTGAAAGACTTTATGACAGGTATTTAAAAATTTTCTGTTTTTTTTCAAAAAAAATAAGTTTAGAATGGATGAACAGCTGTATAGTGGAATGTCATCAAAAAGTTATAAATTTGGGCTGGAAGAAAGGTTTCTCAAAATGAAAAAAAAATTAAAACACCTTATTTTAGCAGGTGAAATAATAAAAAAGCTGGCCAGCAACCTGGGTATTTCTGCTAGTTTTGACACCTCTGTGAATGAGAATATTTTGTCAACAAATTTTGTCACATTTTTTCAAAGGTAAGTTGAGAAAAAAATCAAAGACTCAGGATGATGAACCCAAAGTATTGGCAGAAGGGAAATGTTGATATATATTCAATGTTCCCTAACCTTTTTGGACCTGCAAACCAGCAAATTTCCATTTAAACAATTTTGTGGCCCAGATAATTTTTGACTTTTCAGCTTTCTGTGGACTGGCAACGTTTCATAAACATTTTTGCTGACTCAAGAACATTTTGTTTGAAAGACTTTATAGCAGGCATTTCAAATTTTCTACTTTTTTGCAAAAAAAAAAAAGTTAAAGAAGGTATGAAACATTGGTAGTGGAATATCTTCAACGATTTAGGAAGTTATTGGGCTGGAAGAAAGATTTCTCAAAATGAAACAAAAACAAAATACCTTATTTTAGAAGGTGAAAATGCGTCTGAAGTATTATTTAAAGAAAATCTAACTTTTTTATTTTTCATCAGATAATTTCAACTACCTTTGCCTTTCCAAAATTTCTGATGAAGATAACAGACTTCATTGGTATACTTTTGATAAATTTAACTGGCTGAAGAACAGTTCCTGCAAACCAGCAAAATACTCTTTAGCAGACCAGCACTGGTCCACAGGCCATGTGTTGGGGAATGTAGCATGACATTGGACACAGAAAGACTTTGATTTTGTTAAATCTGAAAAAATATGTTTTTGCTTAAGTTACTGTGCTTTTTTGTTCTGAAACTAACTTGTTTTTTCCTTTCAAAATTTTTGTTTCACTCCAGAATCTCACCATTTCCGAAGAAGAGTGGCACAGGGCCGATTCCGACAGTGAAGGAAACGATGTACAGAAAAGTTGCAGCAATCGACAGGTTTCCGAGTTCCTGTGGATAAAATATTGGGGAAACCGTGATTTTTTTTGGCGTGTGCATCATATTCCATGTCGTCTTTTATTCCTTCACACATTGTTGCTGTTGAAATTTATAATTCTATGAAAACGTGGTGTGAAATATAAACATCTTGCTTTTTCGAACGATTCTCGCGAGGTTGCTCTATTCTGTTGCAAAACGCTTTCCTCGAATTTAGCATTTTGTTCAATTGTATGAGTCATGAACAATTTTTAAATTCACCAAATTGCCATCAACTTGGTGGATTTCATTTTTCAGCAGAGTTATTTATTCCGGTAAATTCCCCAAAAGCCTCTTTTGAGAAGTGCAATGTAGGAGCCCATTAAGAATTGCTTGTATTGTATATGCTCAAGAAAAATTTCCATCAGAAGTTACAGGTCCTGGAAAAACTTCTTGCAACTGACAAAAAAAATACAGTCAAAAGTAGTGTATAGGTTTTGTTGGCTTTTTTGATAAATTTCCAATACTTGGAGACTGACACAAAAAATGAAAAGGATTTAGTATACTGTACTACACTGGTCCTGAGATGTGGACATAATTAATTTTCAGACTCTGTCCACATGATGGAACATCTGCAGGTTAAACTACATTTCCCAATATACTTCATATATTCTGGAGAATTTACCATCCCTTATCACCTTTGGTAGAAATAATAATTCAAAAAAGTCTTCTAGAAATTCACTAAAAATGTTTTTGACTCCATCACATGGTAAAGAAATAAATTGTGCAGAAAAAGACACAGGTTCTGCCATTTTGTCATGAGAAGGTGACAAAAATACAAGCCAACAGATTGCTATGCAGTATAGTTGGTACCCTGCAATTTGACCCTAATCCATTCCTGGACTGTAGGGTTGAATTGAGAAGAAGTCAAATTGTGAGACCATGTAAAATTCAATATTTTGTACATTGTATTTGATGCTTTGTGTCTCTATGTGGGTCAAATTGTGGGGCAGAGGTCAAGTTATGAGTTGGCCTCCCATCAAATTGCAGGACAGACAAATTCTGGGGTGTGGCTAAAGGGCAAGGTACCACCTGTACTGTGCTCATGGTGTCACAAAAAATAAATGGCTGTAGTCAATTTGTCAGACAAAATCAGAGAACCCAAATTCTTGGGAAAATCCACTTCATTTATCTTTGTGAGACTCAAGGAACACCTTGATTCTCACATTTCTTTCAGATGCCTTCAAGGCTGTTTTTTACTGCTAAAATCCGGTTGCTGTTTTTTGTCCTTGGAGGACAGTTTTCCTGTTTTGAAAACTTCACTTCTGCACGAGCTCTTATTGTGTGTGACACTCAAGAAATTTTTTCTAGTATCTGTGTTCATTTTTTGAAGTACAACAACTTTAAAATTGGGTGAAATTTCACCCAGGTTGTAGCCTGACCGAATTCCATCATTCTAGTTCCATTTTCTGAACTCAAAATGTCTAAATCTTAACTCAACTTCTTAAAATCCATCTTGTCTAGAATTAATTCCTGACAGATGGAACCACCTATAAGAGAATCACAAAAGCTTCATAAAAAAAATTATATTACATTTATGCTGAAATTGTGTTTGTCTCATGTTCATGGCAGTATTTCAATTTGTACTAGCAATATCAGCATTTGAAAATTTATTTTATCTGTAACTTTTGGGAATGTGTCCTTGTCTTGAGGCGCATTGTATACATCTCAGGGCAGACTTGCTGAGTTCAATGTGCCCATAAATCAAAGTTTTCACATACTGGGGCATCCATGCTTCAGGACCCCGCTGTAATTTATGCCAGACATGTTCTGCAGGTTTTCTCTGAATTGTTTGTCACTATAATAGCTCCTCCAGAATTTAATATTAAAATGAACCTGAAAAACACATATACCGTATTTACTTGAGTACCACGCGCACCATTTTTCTCAAATTTCAGAAGAAAAAAAGGGGTGTGCGTCATAAGCGGGTACAAATTTTTCAAGAAGTTTTACAAAGTTTATGTGCTTTATACTTGATCATAATGGAGAAATTCAGAAAAAAAAGTGACAAGAAAACTTTTTTGTACTGAAAAAGTTGAAAATTGGTCAGANAAGTGACAAGAAAACTTTTTTGTACTGAAAAAGTTGAAAATTGGTCAGATTTTTGTTAAATTCATGTCTAAAGTCAAACTTTTTGTTTCTATTTTCAAAATTTTGTGGTTTTAGATTTACTAAAAATTGGGGTGCGAGTCATACTTGGGGATAAGATTTTAGCCAAATTTCCAACTGAAAAAACCCTGTGCGCACCTTACTATAGCTCAAGGGCACGTGGTACTCAAGTAAATACAGTATTGCTATATTTACAGTATATATTGCTTTGCAACTCACTGGAAAGGCCAGGCAGGTGGCCAGAGCAGCAAGACACAAGGCACATGCTGCAATCGACACCAGAAGAGTCAGTCTTCTCCTGGAATTCGCCACTAATGGCATGAAGCAGTAAAGTGCCACTGCATTAGCGACCCCCATCCCAAGAGATGCAACCTGGCCCCAAAAGGGAGACAAGCCTGCTCTGCTGAAGAGCTTTGTGGAGTAGAAGAAAACCTATAAAGACGAAAGAAAATCAAATCAGGGCCGTGATTGACGTTCATCCATCAAATAGTGCTCAGAATTCTTGGGAAAACAATCTGTTTTCTATCTTATATAGGTTGAGGGGTGTAATAATATATTATTCCTTGGAGACCCTCTCTGACAACTCACCACATTGATGCCACTCATTTGCTGGCCCACATTCAGAAGTACCACCAGCACCACTGGATGTTTCAAGAAAGAATCTACTCCTGGTGTATCATCTTCAATGGAGTAAGATCTTGTTTCTTCATCCAATGTTGTGTCAGACTGATTCTTGCACAAAGCTGCTTTGCTTGTGGTTGTTGGAAAGGAAGACTTTCAAACAAACAAACAAAACAACAAAATTATGCCTTTGCTTTGAAATTATTTTTTCTCTCAAAAATCCCATGCATTTTCCAAACAACCTGAATTGTTTACCTGTCTGCTGGATCCATCAGGACAGAAAAGCAGTCCAATGAAGCACGGAATTTTTAGAACCAAGGGCAAAACCAGAAGGTAAGGCCACATCAAATTATTCCCTACAAAAAAATGATTTGACATCCAGCATTGTTTGGATAGAAGAGAAAAATAAATTCCTTTCTCACCAAGAAGTTGATGAAAACTGAAGATTTGTGCAAGCACAATGCCCAAATTCAAACCAAAGCACAAAAGCAGCCCCAATTGTGATTTCCACTTCTGCGGCCCAACTTCAGTGACGTATGTGGTCGTGATGCCGCAAGTGAGTCCTTTTTACATTTTGAAAAGTTCTTTTGAATTTTAAAAAAATGCGTATTTAGCTTTTCAACATACCTGCAGCAATTCCAGCTAAGAGTCTTCCAAGGATAAGAATGGCGGGAATTTCTGAGGGCTTTGCGAATAAGAAACAGCCGCCAGATGCTAAACTTAGGGTGATTTCCATGCTGAATACTACTTTCCTGCAGGAAAAAATATGGTTTTAAATTAATTTGATTTGAAAATGAATTTCATGCAAATTTTAGGTTTTGTCAAGGAGTTCCTAAATTTGAAAAAACGTCAGTAAAATCTCTTTTTCTAATGTCTGAGTTCATAACACCAATGCTGCTACATTATAATCATGATAAAAAGCCATGCATTGTGGCCTGGAAAACCTTTTTTCATTATTAGAACAAATTTAGTACAGTACAATTGTGGCTCTTGTGCAGGTACCAATTAATAGTGCATTATAAAGTGTCATAACAAAATGTTTAGTAATTCCACAATTTTGCTTGGCCATGTCAATGCTGATACAGTACAATGAAATATTAAAAAAAAAAAGCCACAAGGACCCAGAAGAAAACTTGCTTACAGTAAACAAATTTTTCATGCAAAATTTGGGGAAACCGTCACTATCCCATTACAAACCCCAAAATTTGAGTAACATTGTGTTTTTGAGCAGGGACCACAAAAATGCCTTGAATTTGAGAATTTTTCAGAACTCAATAAAATTGAAGTTTATTGAAACAATCAAAGTTTCAGAAATAAATTCATTCATGCATTAGGGAACAAGGCTTTTTAAGTCACTGTCTGCACCAAAAGCTTGTGTATCAGTGAGATAAGAATCTGGAAAGAATAAGTTAGGTTCAGAAAAGAGAGAATATCTCATAATCTGATGGTCAGGTCAATTTGTATACCATGAACAAAAAGTAAGAAAATATCTTTAGCTTCAATTCAAGACCTTGCATATTTCTTCAAGTCCAAAATGTGCAGATTTATGCACTTTGGAACGTTTTGCATTGTGAGTTGAGCGCGCAATATGCAAAGCATGTTTTCTTTGCTGATTTTATTTCTTTTTGGATGCAAGTTTTTATTCCTCAATGCCAGATTGTATTTGCTGATTGTGTGTGTGGTTTTGTCTTTTGATACCTATTAACAAAGACAATAAGAAGTCCGCTTTTAACATCCAAGGAGTGAGGATGATCCACCTTCCTTTACTTTTGTAGCCATAAATTTGCACTTGAAATTAAAATCCCTTGGAGGCTGGGTAACTGCCTCTCAGCACTCAGATGTCTCTTGCATCTGGAATGGGTTTTTGCAGGTTAAAAATTTTAATAATGAATAAAATCATTAAAACCAAGCTTAAATTTTCAATTTGATGGGTTTCAGCATTCAGGAGATACAGATATCCAACTTATTCATTAATTCATTTCTTTTCTGCTGAAAACTGAACAATTATTTCAAAGGGAAGGAAGAAGGCAAAAAAATATTTTTCAAACTGGTCTTTTTCTCAAAAAATGTCATCCATAATTGCAAGTGAACAGTGATCCATATTTCTGAATGTAAAATTAAATGAGTCAGAACCGCAGCAGTTATGTATGCAAATTTTCTAAAAATGATAAATATTGTTGATTTCCAAAACAAGAAAGAAAAATTCGAAACCTGCTGATTTTGCTGACAAATATCCCCAGGGACCCGCTCCCCAGGGCTCCTCCAGCCAGGAAGACAGCCACAATGCATCCCCACATCACATCATTAGTTCCCAGTCCAAGGTCTGATCTGATCACCTGTGAAAGGATATGAAGCTCATAGAAATCCCATGTTCTTCGCCATAAACCTCGTACGTGTCTTTGTGAACAAAGGAAGGAGCTTATATTGACGGATTTATCTGCCTTCATCACCTGCTCAGGGGCATTCAGCACTGCCAGGTGGAAACCTGCAGGAACAGTGAACCCAAAGAAAACTGATGTGATGGCAAAGTAGCCCCACAGAGGATAAGGTTCGCATGGGTCCCCAGCTTTCATCCTTTCTCACACACACACACACTGAAGCAAAACCCAAACATATTAGAACAGTTTATTCCCTTTTTGGGCCCGCAGACCAGCAATTTTTCCATCAATTTTTTTGCGGACCAGCAGATTAAAAAAATAATAACTCTGGACCAGCAAAGCTTCGAAACAATTTTGCAAGCTCACTAAAGTCTTGCTTGAAAGACGTTTTATGGCAGGTATTTACAAGTTTCTCTTTTTTGTTGCAAAAATTGAGTTGAGCAACAATGAAGCAGCTTCAGCTGAATATTATCAACAGTTAGAAAGATGGACTTGAAAATAAAGGTTCCTCATATTGAAAACTTGAAATACAGCTATATTTTAGCAGGTGAAATTTTTGTCTGAAATGTTTTTAGTATGCCACTAAATTATGCATCAGCACTGCTACATTTGCTCATGATGGCATCTATGGTTTTGGAAAACTTTTGATGAACAACACCCTATTCTTTATAGCATCATCAATGCAGCAACTAAAATAAAACTTAAAACTCAAAAGGCTAATGAAAATGCTTCTGAAGTACTTGTATTTACTTGAGTATCACACGCCGTTGAGTAAGGCGTGCACAGGGGTTTTTCAGTTGGAAATTTGGCTAAAATCTTATACCTGAGTAAGATGTGCACCCCAATTTATAGTGGATCTAAAACCACAAAATTTTGAAAATAAATTCAAAAAATTTGATTGTAACGTGAATTGAACAAAAATTGGATCAATTTTTGACTTTTTCAGTACAAACAAGTGTTCTTGTCACATTTTTTTCAAAATTTCTCTATCATAATCAAGTATAATGCACACATAACTTCTTAAAACTTCTTGAAAAATTTGTACCCTCTTATGACACAGACCCCTTTTTTCTTCTGAAATTTGAGAAAAAAGGTACGCGTGGTACTCAAGTAAATACGGTAACATGAATATTGATTCAACCTTCACGGAAACGGATTAAATCTCAGAAAACATTCTTTGAAAAAAATCATAATGCTCTCATTCAAAAAATTTACAAGTTCTCACTTTTCATCCCACACTTGAACTCATCTTTTCTTCACCAGAGGACGTCAACTCAATGGCGTTAACCCACTCACATCTGGATTAGAAATGAAGCCGGCATAGAATATGGTCTCTCAAGAGCATTAAAAATTTGTTTATTTTGAAAAGGTTATGTAATTCACGGAAGAGAGAATGTTCCAGAGCATCTCGGGTTCAGGGATGATGGGCCAGGGTTTATCACACATGTCTGCTTAGCGTGAACTTGTTTAATTGAACGCGGTCAATTTGCGTCAGGCACGTGTCAACAAGGCTCAGCAGTTGTGTCTAACCAGGCCTGAAATATGATCCCATTTCTCGGGTTCCAACAGGTCGTGTGTCAAGTTCCACCAAAAAGTATGTACCGTATGCTGTGTGTACAGTACGTACATAAATGTATATAGGTAAGAACACTGTTTCGTGAAGACTTATTCTTTACAAATTTAATTTTTTATTGAGCTGTAGCTCCAAAGGCAAAATTTTATAAAATAATTTACTCAAGATATTTTCAGGATTTTTTAAATCTCATTTTTCTTGCAAAATCATTAAGATTTTAATCCCAATTATTTGTATGACTGAAAAAGGAGTGATTGCGAATTTTTATTCATCTCTGAATGATAATCACAAAAGGAGAGAAAAATATTGTGAATTTGAAAATAAAATACAGATAATCAGCTTTGGAGTTTAGCTGGGGATTTCCTTAAAAAGTCCCAACAGATAAAAAAAAAAGCCCTGCGTTTCTTTACGCCAAATCAATTCACAGATCACAAACAAAATTTGCACAACAAACTTGAATTGATGCTTACATTGCAATGTCTAGAGGAACTAAAAAATGTCTGATATAAATTTTATCTCTTTTCTCTCTCTCTCTCTCTCTCTCTCTCTCTCTCTCTCTCTCTCTCTCTCTCTCTCCTCCTCCTCCTCCTCCTCCTCCTCTTCCTCCTCTCTTCCAGGAATCACGATCAGCTGATTTGTGTCAACCCTGATTGGCTGAAAGAGACCAGTCAACATTTTGAATATTCAATTAGTGTGGACTGCCATATAATGGCAGTCTAATTCAAAGATTTTTGACAGTTCTGCAAGGTTTGCAATTTATGGAATTCTGTACGCTGCGCATAATTTACCTGTACAATAAAATACCAAATTATTCTGCCACATCATCCATGAGGAATATGTTACACAAAATATAATCATGCATGACGATTTGAAGGAGAAAAAATTGAAAAGATTTTTTTTCTGCAGTGGAAATCTTTTTTTCTTTTGCTTCCAATTTGATTAATTATATTGTATTAGGTATTTCGCTGAGAAAATTAATATTATTTTGCTTGATGAGGCTCTGTTATGAAATGACCAAAGCCTCAGATTGGAAGAATTCCCCAGATTTTTAAAAAATATATCCTTATTTTGTTAGGCAATCCTGCAATTACATCATATTCTTTTTTATTTCCTGGAACGTTGCTGAAATCAGATTTCAACTGTATGCAGGATTTCCCACACCGGAATTTTCTCTTCAAATCCGGATAAATTTAATTTTGCTGATTCAATGAGGTTGATCAACTGTTGATCTACATTTCCACAAGTGCACGAACGTTGAAAGAAATGCATTACAATCAGTCAAATAACACTGTAGTCAACTGGAGAGTGACTTTCACACTAGCTATTCAGAATTATTCAGGTTTTTGTGCGCGCAAAATGCTGGTGTTGGAGATGCAAAACTTCGCAAAAATAATGAAGCAACCATAGGGAATTGATGACACTTTTTTTTTTTTAAATAAATAAGATCGGAGCCGGTTTTTCATTTCCGAGGTTGGGTTTCTGGCACAAACAGCAATGTGTAAAGAGCAATTAAAAGTGTTGACGCGACAAAAACGAAACAAGTCGCTGTTGCTCCAATCCGGGACTCCATGACCGGAAACCCGAGTCCTACCACAAATGCTGCAGTCCAATTGGCGAGGGAACCAAAGGCCAGGAGCTTTTTGCTTTCTGGGTGCTTGGCGATTTCTGGTACAGAATTGGAAATTGAACAAAAATATACATACAATCAAACAAGCACCGATAAGTTTAAAAATTAGTCACTATGTTTGAAAAATGGAATCAAATTACGCCACATGCTTTGTGGACCTTGAGAAATATTCTAAAAGATAGAAAGGTTTTGGTACAGTGGTACCTCACAATTTGACCCTAATACATTGCCAAACTAGGGTCAAATTACAAATTGGTAGAATTGCAAGAAACTCTGTCAAATTCAAAATACAAGTACAAAATGCAAAAAAATGTAAAAAGCAGGTTGAATTGTGAGGCAAGAGTTGAATTGCAAATCAAACTCCCTGCAAATTTGACTGCCAAATTGCTGGAGGTCAAATTACAAGGTACCACCTCTACTGTATTAAGACTTGAAGAACACTGCAACTATACTGAAGGAACCATAGAAAAATGTTTACATATGGAAGAATCAATTTTTGTAATATGATGGTATTGTAATGTCAACTGAAGTTCTTGAATTGCGTGCTGTCTATGGGTGTTGTCAACTACAGATGAACCTCAATACCTGAAATACCCCCTACGTTGAATTTTTCAGATCCCTGTCTGAATCCCCTTGGGAACAATGCATTACAAACTTCCTCAAGTCAAAGGCTTTTCCCCTCAACCCTCTGCAAGTTGAATTTTCTGTGGTCTATTGGCTTTTATTTTCTTGACCCAAGAAAGAAAAAAAAACATAAGAACAGGAATCAATGTGTTTTAGAAGAAAACGATAGACTTAATTGGGCAGATGAACCCCTGCCTACAAGTTCAGCATCCTTTCAACTCATTTAAGAAGCAATTTAGGCCATAGAATACCACCATTTACAAACTTGGACAATTTTTATGTTTCCCAGGACAAAAGAGCTTTGTATTGTAGCTCAAACCTCTAAAATCTCCCTAAGTCAAAAACTCCTTAAGTAAAATTTTTGGCTGGTCCCTTGAAATTTGACTTAGAAAGGTTCAACTTTATAAAAAAATCAACTCTGAGCAAGAAGGCATTTTTGAGTTAGTGTAAGAAGGTGGGATCAAATAATTTTTTTCTGGGGGAGAATATCATTTAATTGAGTCATTTTGGCATACAAGCATATTGTCTAGGACCTACCAAAACCCAACACATGATTTAACAACAATACTGTACAGTAATTGAAGGCTGAAGCAAAGTCTCTTCATACTGTTTTATATTTTTTTCTTGTATTACTTGGAGGAACTTTTACAGCTCATTAATTAAATTGCAAGGAAAATCTTTACATTTTGAGCATTCAAAACTAGAAAACTCCTAAGATCACAGCAATTCCTGATAGTGATTTGCTTACAAAGAAAAGAACACTCCACAATACTCACCAATCCCTATAAAATGAGGAAGTGGGCCAAGTCCAGCCTGGAAGCTCACAATGTACAGTATCACAGAGACTAGGGAGAAGAGTGCAAACTCCTGCAAGAGAAAAACAAGATATAAGCTTTGGCAGGACGCTCAGTTTGAATTTTCTCAATGATCCTAATGGAAGAAGGTTCTTCAGAAACTTTCATCCATGCAAAAATTTCCAAACTCTTCACTCTTGGACTGTGTTGGGGACTGCAGCTGGTGGTGGTGAAGATAATATATAAATAATTTTCCCAGCATCCTGCAAAAACCTGTACTAGACCCCTGAAGGCCTCAGAACCAAAAACGAATCCCAAAGAACTAATACAACAGTGCTGTGCATCATCTTCAATTCTGGCAAAATCAGCCAATCAGAGGCCAATACTTATTTAGATCCCAAGGAAAACAAATTTCCTTCTTGCTTTTCTCTCGCTCTTCTCCAAACTCATCAGATTTTTTTCACTCTACTGCCAATTCCCAGACTGATTAGAACTTAAAACCTTGCATTGATTATTCCTGGTACACTTTGTGAGATTACCTTATGCGCGTGATTTTTATTGGGTGTGTGTTAAAATTCACTGATTTGCTAAATTCTAAATTGGGACATTATTAAATCAAAAGCTTTACTGGAGCTTCTACAAAAAGAGGCCCCCATCCCATTGCAGGCTGATTGTTGTGTTTAATTCATTATTTTCATCCTCTTTTCTTTTTTGAGATACTCAGTCTCCAACTGACTGCAACAGGATTGTTTTTCATGCCACAAGGGAACCAGGGGTTGTTTTCATTTTGCATACTGCTGGTGCAGTTTTGTCTGAAGGTCACCAAAAGGCAGCCTGAGCTGAGTAAGACAAATCAGATATTTTCTAGGCCTCTATGAAGACTAATTTTTTTTTTTAAGTCCTCCAATGTTCATGCACAGAAAAATACCATCCTGTGTGGAATTTTTTTCAACAAGCATGTTCTGTGTCAATACTCAATAGATCCAAAACTTTATTTATTTTAGACTTTGTTCATCAGTCCAATTTTCCAACACTGTAAAAGAAAGAAAAATTGACCACTTTTCAAATTTTTTTTAAATCATTTGAATTATTGCCTGTCTTTTTATGATTTTGTGGTATCAGTCATTCCTAAACAGTTATCATTTTTCAGACCATTTTTTTCATAAAAAACGTATAGTAATATCCATTGTAATTAATTAAGTTAGCTTCCATTCCAAATTATCTCACTGGCAGGATGAAAGAAAGAGCTAGCACGCTCAGGAACACGATGCATCCTATAAGAGAGGTCAGCAATGTCAAGCGCCTGGGAAGTCGAGCCTGGATTGGCATGAAAATCAGCAAAGCTACCATATTGGTCACACCCACTGCTAAACTCGCAAATTGAGTCCAACTCGGTCTCAACCCCGCTCTAGTGAAGATGAAGGTCGAATAAAAAATGACCTGCGGAAAAAAATAAAAAGAACAACTGTCATAATAAATTGAAGAAGAGACTAGTTTGCGGGGATATAGCGTCATCTACAAGAGAAAAATTCAACCATTTCAAGCTCAGCGGACGGAGATCGCGATGAACAGTTTGTTTTTCTCTCGTAGATGTCGCTCTTGCTCGTGTATCAATCCCTCACGGGTTCTCCGTAAAAAACTATACTTAAAACTTTGTGTCGGGAGCTTTTTCTTTGCTTACAGCGTTTATTCCGCTGAGTTGCTGTCCTATGTTCAGGATCAAGACGTGAAGAATCGGACAGTTCAGATTGATGAGGTTTTTTCTCAAGCAACTGCGTTTCGTGGTAGACTCGTTTGATCTCGAAGCTTCCTCTGCTGTATTCCTTTCATTTTCGACCTCCGATAGAGGAACAACCTTTAAGTTCAAAAACGCATTATTATTTTAGAATCTTTAAAAAATTATTCATTGGTTTAAAATACAAAAAGCTCAGAACAGTGCTCCTTCAATCGCTAGTCTAAATAGCATATATATACTGTATAGGCTGCCAGAAATTTCAAAATTATGCCTCAAGAATTTTGAGCTTTAAACAGAAAAACGAAAAAATAATTTGGCTGCAGACAGAAAGGAACAAATTACGGAAAATAAAATATTATTACTGAATGTCCTTTCGAGAAAACCGAATGCAGAATCGAAATTTTCTTTCCGTGATGTATAAAACAAAGAATCCTGAGTGAAAACGCTCGAAGCCTCTTTCCAAAATTTACTTATTTTCTAAAATAATTGGAATATTTCCTAAACTATTAAACCAAGCACAAACAATCATAAATGAAAAATCTGTCGAAATGATTTGGTCATAATGGACGGACTATATTTCGAGCGAGGAATTTATTTACATTCTTCTTTCAATTGTGAATCACTGCACTCTTAAAAATAAAATTCAATTCATAGGTCCATTGCATTTTTTACAGCCGAAATTTTACATTAATTCTAATCATTTTCATATTACATAATTTGCGTAGCTGTTTTATTTTCAGAAGAAAAGTACTGTAGTCCATAGAAAATTAGCAAAGATTGTATTAGTGCTGCTTGGCTGCTTAAATATTTTCAAAATTTCCATCACAATTGATGATACTTTTTTCATTTTCTAGTATTTTCAAGAGCTAAAATTGTAAAGTAACTGACCTGCGTGTTGGTCTCTTCAGGTTCAATATTTTTCTGCACCACTTTCCCTTTCTTGTAAAGCAAGAGCATCATACAAAATGCAGATGTCTTCATGAGCATCATTGAGTTTAGCAGAGCTGCCCAGTATTCCTGAGTGCCTGTGTGAGGGAAAAATAGATTTAGTATAAAAGGGATAAGAAATGCAAGTTCTTAAACTGACCAAGGACTTGTTTCAAGCTCACAGTTTGAGCTATTACTATTCCCAAGTTTAGACCCAGATTCAACAGCATTCCCAGGTGAGTTTGCCATCTCAAAGTGCCTAGATCTGTCACAACTGCAGTGGTGATGGCACATGTGAAGCCTTGGAAGAATACAATGAACAAAACATCTTCAATATAATCAATCAACAGAAATGTAGGAGGAAATGGACAGAAAAACCTGAGGCAATTCCTACACACAACCTGCCAGCAATAAGGAGTGCATAGGTGTTAGTATACTTGGATATGACAAAAAACACGCATGCTGCCAAGGAAAGCAGGAAATCTGCGACAAGCACTTTTTTCCTGGAATGAAAAAATGCCGGATTGAATCACAAAATTAATTTCATGTCACTTTTTTTATGCCTAAAAATCAAGAAGAATATTTCAGGATAAATTTACACCAACATTTTAATGTAGATATGAATTTAATTTATGCCTCATGTGAATCGTTCAACTTACACACCATTTCAGTATTTTGCGATCAAGTACAGTATATGTTCTATATTGTCATATTATAATGCAATCAAAACTAAATCGTACAGGAATAAAAAGGAGGCCTGTGTGTATGTGAGAAACTGAGAAAGGAGGAACAAAAAGAAAATAACATTTATTTATGACTCAACGGAGTAATTCTCCATACTTGAAGCATTTTTTTTTATTTAGTGATGCTGGATGCAAAAAACCCATCTAAACCTGACATCTAGCGAAATAAACATCAGAATGGGAGATGTTAGTTTTTATGGTTTGTGATAGGTGTCACTAAAATCATCGTGATGTTTCGGTTCGATGTTCGCGGTTGCGGCACTTGCGGGGATGAACAGGGCTTTTTTTTTGCACCCAACCACACTACACTACATTTGAAAAATCCATAGTTTTGGAATATTACTCTGTCAAGCCATAAATAAATGCTAATTTCTCCATGTTCCTCTACTGATCACATATATACAGGCCTCCTTTTTAGTTCTCGTCTTCCATAATAGGTGTCAGTAAAGCCTAGATTCCTGCAAACCGTAAAGCGCTAAAAAAACTAAAATTGTTGTTGATTTCGAAGTTTATTCACCTGTCCCAATTGGATCCGAGAAAGCTGAGACAACCACTGCCCAAAGCAGCACCAGCAGCATAAATAGCAACGATTATGCCCCAAATGACTTCGTTTTCGCCCAGTTCAAGGTTCAAATCACGTTTGATTTCCTGAAATGTAGTACAGCACGTTTGATGCAGTAATTTGAAAAAAAGGATTTAAAGTTTTTCTTGCAAGTTAGCCCTTCATACTGCTTTCATTTGACGCATCACTCATCGAATTACTGATGCATAATTCTGATATGATTTGAAACTTGTATATCTTCGTACACAATAAGTGCTGGGTATTGAAATCACGTACGCTGTATGATTGAATATATTACCAGCATATTCTGCTGTCCTACTAAAAAAGCATTTTCATCGTTGCTATACTTTGAGATTTCTTTTTTATGTAAAAAATCTCAAGATGCTGATTTAAATGTTTTAATTCAGCAGCAGACATTCTCGAATTTCTTGCTTTGAATTTTTTTCGTTTTTTGTTTGCTCAACCATATCCGATTTTTGGCAGAACAGTACCGTACTTTCACCACAATTTACCGTTTCTGGAGCATTCAGAACTGCCATGTGAAATCCAACAGGGGTCGCAAATCCCAGGAAAACTGCTAAAATGACCAGTGCGTTAATCATATACGAATTCCTAGGTTTCACATTTTCCGGCTCTTCTTCCTCGTCTTTTCGAAGGTTGTTCATCTCCATTGGAACTGGATCCTCGTGACCATCTTCAGCGTCGTCCATGATTAATCAGCGCGAATCGTGCACGTATGCATAAATACCATTGAAAGTTGTAAAAACCCTTGGTACGAATACCCATGTTTCTTTTTCTTGAAGAGCGACACCTGCCGAGTCTATTGAACATACGTATCGAACGTAAGATATCAGATATTGTAGGTCTCGCGGTGTTACCGACAATCGCACCGACTGAACACCTTTTCCTGACCGGAAGTCCCCTTTCTGTAAGGGAAAAAAACAGAGCACATATTCGATCCACTACAGCAGATTAGAAACTTTTCAAAGATGGAAATAAAATTGAGAATAGTTGATATTGAATGAACATTGAATAAAATCAGATACATTCAATTCATTTTGAAGTAATGTATACATCTTTAAAAATATACCAATACATTTGTTCTTCTTTTTTTTTTTTTTGAACACAGCAGTGAATATAGTGGCTCGCTTCTTTCCAAGAAAGGAACATATATCTCCTGTGAATTTAGTGAAACTTTCTGTACAATACCATGAAAATGAATTTAAAGTTACGATCAAAAATAAAAGTTAGCTCACATATTTCAAGAAATCAGCAATAAATATAATCGCATGAAGTTTAAAATAATTGACTCCCGGATATTTAAATACAATTTTGCACTTGAGTCTTTCCCAAGTTGACAGAATAAGTGGCATGAGATCAAGTGTGAAAAATGTGTAAAATATTTCATTATTTTCCTCAAGTACCATGTGCTCATTTAATTTGCTATAGATGTGAGGCAAGCTGCAGTGATTTTCTGTGGGTCAAAGTAATGAACAAGGAATTTCGTTTGGCACCAACCACATTAAAATGCTGCATGTTATTTTAATCAGGGATTATTTTGTTTATTTAAAAAAAAACTGAACAGTAGCAGTTTCTCAAATCAAGCAAAATAAACCTGAAGTATTTAAAGATAAAATAGAAGACAAACTTGATGTTGATTTTGACGCCATTCAAAATGTTTAAAAAAATTTCTGGGACTCTTATCTACTGACTTCATATACATAAAAATACCATTAAAAATCAATTTTATATATAGCACTTAAAACTTGGGTAGATACATTTTTGGACAAATTCCACCCCATTAAACTAAGTGGTGTAACTCCTGCAGCATAAATACATTAGTCTGGGCATCACCAGAGCACCTTCTCTTCTTATGTCCAGCATTTTGAATGGATAGAAATCAGCTTAAGAATAATGTCTTGGGGGGGAGTGGGGTGGGGGGGGGGGGGGGTTTGGATGCGGGAGTCTTGGTTGTGCCTTGTGAACATCGAAAAGCAGCAAATAAAGTTTTCTGCTCATTCATTCATTAAACTAAAACGGGGTCTTACTTATGATTGAGGGTGATATGAGTATAGAACACTTAGTAAGTACAGCATTGCAGTAGAACCTCTCCCAAGTGGAATTTCAAGGGACCAGCAGAAAAAAATTAAAATCAAGAAAATTTTGACTCAAGTAAACAAGAATTTTTTGTTGTGGGAAACCGGAGTATTGAAGGAAATAGGAAATGCTGATGGATTCCTAAAATATAAGAGGTTATAAAAAGGTGGGAAAGCGGGTGGTTATTTTCACGCCACATGTTGATCTTATCACTGTGGTAATTGAAGTCAGGACGTCGAACCCGTTGACATTGACCATGAGTCACCACATCGTACCACACTCGCTCCATGGTGCCACCAATAAAACTCCTTTACCCTGCCTGAACTGGAATTGCATCAGAATCATTGCTCAGGAAACTTGCAACAACAACAAAAAGAACTCTTTTCGAGTTAAGTATAGTCAGGATTCGGAAAGAAAAATTCAGTATGAAAGGTACTAAAAAAAACCATGACATTATTTCAAAAGAATAAATATAATATGTAGCTACATGAATCTGAGAATCCAAGTCAATCCTTAATAGTAAAATATTTTACCCTTAAACATGACAAATGAACTACTGTATTTCCTTGTAATTCTTGTTGGTAGCATGATGATGATGCAAATTCTTGGTTATAAGGATCAGGTCTCCGGTTCTTCGGTCCCTATATATCTAAACACAAGCATTATTTTTTTGTTGCCTGACTTAGCTTCCAAGAAACTCTATAAATTCGAGATGGTGTTTTCGAGAGAAGCAAAATCTAAACTTAAAAAGGATACCTTTTATTGGTGAGAAAGTAAAAAAATTATGATGTTACTGAGTACGCAATCTTTTTTATCTGCTTAATTTTTTTTAAAATAAATAACCTCGAATGTGGGCTAAGTGAATAAATTCAGTACGCCAAATTTAAAAGCAAAAGTACATGCCAGAGATGTTGGCAATGTCTCTTTGGGGACTGGGTGCGGCCTACGTACACCAAAGATGACAATGCGGCCTATATTATTTTAAACTACTGTATCTTTTTTAAATATGAAAATTTTTATATTTAATGGTTGGATGGTGGCAGCCTCTTTCCATCCCAGAGCAAAGTTGGACTATTTCTCAATGGGCCTGCATAACATTTTTGCACAAGGTTATGCAACCCCTGCCAGGTGGGGGAGGGTAAAGTCGGATTTTATCCGGGGATAAAGAAATGCAGGCAGAAAGTCTTGAGTTGGACTTTTTCTGCATTGACCCCTAACCTGGGCTCATGGCTTTCAAGCTTAAATTTAATCTTTGAATGGGGAAACAACACAAGGCCAGGGAAAAAAAGGAGCCTTGAAGTTTTCATTTTCAGCAAAATTTTTCTGTGGGAAATTTAGAAAATGCCAGGATTTTTCCAACTTTGCCCTGCATACACTGTTGAGGGTTTTTTAAATTCCACTCTTGAGTTCAACCAAAATCTGCAAAAAAAAGTCAAACTTTGCTGCAGAAGGGTTAAAATCTTTGCTTCAAACTGCATCTGTGCTGTTTTTCTGCCCTCAATTATTTTTAGATAAATTATCTCAAATCAACCAATATACAAAAATTTACAGCATACTTTTGTTCCATAGATTTTAGCAAAGTTTTGGGGGGGGGGGGGGGTGGGTGGGGCGTAAGAGATGACAATGAGGCCCATTATTTTTTCAGAAAACATTATTTAAAATTATAGTTTTTTTATTTTGAACATCCATGCTTCAAACTACTTTTTTGGCAGAGTTTTATTGAGAGAAATATGGCAGATTATTCTGAAGTACGGTAACAATATTGACAGTATCTTCGAGAAAACGGCAGGCTTTCGGGAGGAATGCATACCCAGGGAAAAAAAAAAAAAAGTTTCGGTTGCGGAAATAGGGTCGCGGGTTCAGTGTGAACCATGGTAAACAAGAAACTGGTATTCGCGAGAAATCGTTCCGGAACCCTGTTGAAACTTGGGTTAAGGTCAGCGCTTCCCAGTTTCCCCCTCGCAGCTGTTCCTCTTTCCAGTTGTAACAGGGTGGAATCGTACGAGTTCTTCCCAGTTCAAGCTGGAAATGATGGTACGATCCCTGACGGTATAAAAACCGAAAGCACTGTTCAGACAGAGCACAGTCGAGTTGAAGTGAAAGAGGGGTTAAACAAAAGCGTTTATTTCTTCATTTATTGTCAGTGTTGACGCTTTGAAAGTTACTCTGAAGGGTCAAGTGTGACAATTATGGACCTTCTCTGTGTGTGTGTGTCTGTTACTACCTCGAGTAGGCGAAATTCTGATGCAAGTTCTAGCGACACTTTCACGTTGTCGCGTTCTTCCGAGTAATAATAGCAGCAAGTGTAAACAGTACTGTACGTGTTCCTCATCTCAGACACCAATACAGTGACACAAAAACACAGGCACACGGTAACAACAACGACAACTCCATGTCTTCTTATTCCAGGGATGAAGACTATTTCATCAGAAACTCTTCTGTCCCCATCATCTGTGTCTCAAATGACGCAAAATCGAGCAACCAACTGATCACTCGGGTGCAGGTGTATAAAAGCGTCAGTGACATTCCCTGTTTCGTCAGTCAGAAAATATCCTACCCAGAGTGTTACAACAGTGAAGTTAAGTGAAGTGATTGGTGAATAAGGGAAGTTTGTTCCTCGAAAATCTACGAACTATAGACAGATTCATTTTCTTCATAACACTATCTTGATGTTTGAACAAAGCTCTTACTGAGGCGTTTTCGTCGAATATTTTGTTCGAACGTGACGGAGAAAATATTTTTGAGAAATCATAATCGGGAATTTGGAAGCGAAATACTCTATTTTGAAATGGGTCTCAAAAAGATTCATATTTGTCAGCTTAGGAACGCGTACAAAAATGAGTGAAAAAATCAATGGATCAAAGGCTTTTGAAAATCTCGAAGAATGCCTTCAACTTTTTTTTTCATTTACCTCTTGAGCAAAACGACGTTTATAAATAAATGTCAAATTCCAAGCTTATAACTGCAATTTTATCCGAGTCATAAGTTTTCTTCGTGGCTCAAATTATAAATCTTGAAAAGTTGCCAATGATTCTGGATTGAACTCGATTGTTGATCCCAACGCTTTATTCTTCTCGCCGATCATGGTTTAAAATGAAGACGAAAATGAGTCTGACGATCTTGCATCATACTTTTACGGTTTAAAAAAAAGAATTTTCCATACCCAACCGATGACGAAATATTACAGAAATATGCATAATCTAATATCGGAAAATTGCAAGGGGGGAAATAAGCGGATAAATGGTTGCCAATGGTGCAGATAATGTCGCTCTTCTCAGTGGTTGAATATCGTCCTTCTTTTCGCATTTCTTGGTTTTAATTTTGTAATGAGGAAAAGGTGAGATGATCTCGCAAATTTTCCTTGCGATATCCTTTTGAAGAAACGCGGAGGAAACCGATGGAGCGATCTTGTCAAAATAATTCTCATCCAAAATCGGAAATTTTCGAAGGGAAAGGGAGAGTTGCCATTGGTGCCGCAACAATATTATTTTTCCTCGCACTTGGATATCGTCTAACGTTTTTCCAAAATTGACAAGATTTTAAGGTTTTTATTTGAATATTGAAGAAGAAACACTCCTTATTTTTTTGACATCAGATCTAAAAAAAAAAAAAAAAGAGTCGAACGCTGTAGAAAAGACAAAACTTTTCAAATCAATTTTCAGGTCTTAGTGTGTGAGTTTTGAATAAATTCGACTGGAAAGAATGGTGTCAGCTGCAACAGCTATTGCTGCTGGGACAATTGGAATTCTTGGCACTGGAGGTATGGCGACACCAGCAGTGCTCAGCAGTGTTGGAGCAGTGGTTGGTGGAGTTTCAACTACAACAGGAGCTGCAACTGCTGGCACTGGTGAGTTTCATCTTTCCAGGGATTTCCCATCCATGACATTCATGACTTGAAATACTGTACTGTACTGCAGCAATTCCCTGACTTGCAGGTGATTCAAGTTGAAGGTGCTGAAAATGTCTGCTCATTTTTATTCAGTGTTTGTAAAACTAAATTGCGCCTTTGATTTTTTTTTCCAATATCAAGTGCAAGTATGCCATATTATCTCAAGTAGTAGAGCATCCGCAGTGCAGACAAAAAAAAAATTTTTTTTTTTTTTAAACCATTGCAGAAGTGGGATTCAAACCCATGCCTGCAGAACCACACTGTGACCGGAATGCAGCGCCGTAGACCACTTGGCCATCCTGACAACTTAATGTTAATTGATGTGTTTTCAAGTAGGCAAATTAATTCAAGGTGCAAAAGGCCACAGACACACATTACATGATGTCCTTATTATTCCCCCCCCCCCAGACCCTTGTAGGATCCTACTGGTCATTCCTCCCACTGCGGACGTCTGGTAAATGCCTGGTCTCCAATATAGAGGCCCATACAGGTGGTCACAATCGTAGAAGCCAGGTCAAAGAGGGAATTATCTTGATCTAAGAAATAATTTGCACTCATGTATTAAGATCTAAAGAAAGAAGCCCTTCTCCATGCATCATACATGCCAGTCTCATTTGCAATCATAGAACTTTCTCATTTTTAACCTCAGGTTTTCCATTTTTGCCTTATTTTTCTTGTGATATCCCAAAGGTTCAACTGTAGTAAGAATACACCGGTGTCCCACAGAGGCCAGTCTCTATTAAATGCCAGGAGAAACTTCAAATATTTTTAAATAATTGCTCAGGGAATTCATCTAAGAATATATGGTGCTTATTCTTTTTGGAGTTATTGAAAAATGTAAATTCGATTGAGACATTCTGCTCAAAGGGTCATGCACTTGCTGTGAGTTCGGCATCATGCAACCCTTGGTGCAATGAAACGTTCATATACTGTATTTCATTACTTGGTTTCCTTATGGGCGTATATTTCAAAGCCTTTTATTTTATCACTTCAATCTAAGCCTTTTTATCACTTTCAGCCGCACTGACAGGACCAGCAGCATTGGCCACTGTTGCTTCTGGGCCCATTGGATGGGCTCTGGTGGGAGCAGAACAAAAGAAGAATTAATCAAGAACTGATGATATTTCAAGAAAATATGAAGGTTTCCCTGTGTTAAATATTCAACACTGTGCTTAAACCGCAATGATGCAATAAATGCGGGTTTTTGTTTTGCTTCTTTCTCCGTGGAGGACATCAGAAATGTTTTCTTTCTGAAGTAAGGCCAATGGGCAGTGACAATTTAAAGAAGAAAAAAACCTTCGCTGTCTTCGGTTGTTTGCTTTCCGAAATGAAATTTAATGGGGAATATTGTACAGTATGTGGTTTCTTCCTGCGATATTATTCAATATCAGAATAATGATTATTTTAATTGCGATAATTTAAAACGTAAAATCCGTTTTTTGTTGTTGCAGGAACAGTGTGTGAAGTAGTGCTTTGAAATCCATTCGTGAAACGTCCTGCGTCCACATTTCAACATATCATCCCAAATCTAGGTAAGAAACTTTTTTTTTTTGAAAATTTGCCGAAATTAAAACCATTAATTATCTAATATGTTTTTCCAAAACTGCTTATCATCTAAAAGCCTTTCTTGATTATGGATGAATGAACAGAACACTTTATTTGCCGCTTTTCAGCGTTCACAAGGCATAACCAAGACTCCCGCATCCAAACCCCTTCCTTGATTACATTTTATAATTTCTTCCCTCTGATCTAGACAAAGAGTCAAACGCTGCACAAGAACTGACACTTATTTTCGAATTAATTGTCATTGGTCAGTCTGAGTTTTGAAAATTATCTTGACTGGAAAAATGGTGGCCACTGGAGCAGCTATTGCCGCTGGAACAGCAGCAACAATTGTCACTGGAGGTCTTGCAGGTCCAGCAGTGGTCAGCAGTGTTCCAGCTGTGGCTGGTGGAGTTTCAACTGCTCTTGGAACTGCTGCAACTACTGGTACTGGTGAGTTTCTTTGCATGGATGTCCCATACAAATCAGTGTTTCTCAGCCAGTGGTCCAGGAAGCAGTGATGGTCCACAGAGGTTTTTTGCCTGTATGTGGGAAATTTTCTTCAGCATAATAAATTTATCAAAAGTAGCAATGAAATCTTTATCTGAAAATTTTGGAAAGACAATGGCAGTTGAAATTATCTGATGAAAAATAAAGGTTGTCTGTTCTCCTAATAAAACTTGAAATTGTCAAGTTTTATTTTTATCTGATGGAATAGATTATCTTAATTTTTAATTCTGTATGAGAAACCTTTCTTAACCCTTGGGTGGCAGCAAATTATTTTGCATTGCACGGTAGTTCTGGGATTTTTTTGCAGGCTTCTGCATTTTGGTTTGACCAAAGGCCACCAAGAGGCAGATTTGGCTGATATGCTAAAGTTGGGAAAATCCTGCAAAAGAAAGCAATTGTTCTGATAATACCCCAATGCTAATCCTATGTCATGAATGCGGAAAAATGCCACCCAACAGTAGCATTTTGATTTCTTTGTTGAAAATTTTTCTGCGGGAATGCCAAAAAAAATCAGGATTTTCTCAAACTTAGGCTATTCCAATCATTTCTCTTTCTCCTTTTTCTATTCTTAGTGACACAAAATTTTGTGGATAAATCCCAAAACCTATGCCCAAAGGTTTAAAGCCCACCTTTCTAATCTTTCGAAGACATTCCACTAAAGCTGATTCTGTGGTGTTTCCAGAGAAATAAACTTCAAATCCTTTGATTTCACTTCAATGTCTGTCTATTTATTGCATTCAGCTGCAGCAGGTGCAGTGACAGGACCAGCAGCAGTGGCGGCTGTTCTTTCTGGGCCTGTGGGTTGGGCTCTGCTGGGAGCAGAACGAAAGAAGAATTAATCAAGAACTGATGGTATTTCAAGATATTATGACGGTTGAATGCTCAACACTGGGCTCACACCGCGATGACGCAAGAAACGTGGTTCTTTTGGTTCTTTCACCGTGGGGGACAGAAATGTTTTCTTTCTAAAATTAGGCCAGTGACAATTTGAAGAAAAAGAAACCTTCACTGTCTTCGGTCGTTTGCTTTCTGAAATAAAATTTATTCAGGAATATTGTATGCGGTTTTTCCCTGCGATATTATTTAAAATCTGAACAATGATTACGGTATATTAATCGCGATAATTTCAAACGTGAAATCCGCTTTTTCTTGTTTTGCAGGAATAGTGTGTGAAGTAGTGCTTTGAAATCCGTTCGAGAAACTTCGTGCGTCCACATTTCGACGTCTCATCCAGGTAAGAAAACATTTTTGAAAAATTTGTAGAACTTGGCAAACAAAACTCAAGCATTTTGCCTAAATCAGCAAACAGAACTCGACTGGCTCTGAAAACGTAACACATTTTTTTGATCATAAATGAATAGAAGAATATTTTTGCTTCAGTCCATAAAATCTTTGTTTCAAATTGCATATGTGCTTTCTTTGGCACAGTTATTAGTTTAGGGGAAAAGTGTGCATACTATTTTTACGTGAAAATATATCAAAAGGATCCTATTCGAGAAAATGACAGGGTTTTTGGTCACTGTCGGGAGGAACGCAAACCCGAAAAAAAACAAATCTTTTGGGTGCGAAAATAGTGTCGTGGGTTCAGTATGAAGCAGATGTATAAAAAAATATATATAACCTGGAACTGGTATTCGTGTGAATCATTATCCCGAAACCCTGTTGACACTGGGTTCAAGCTCAGCTCTTCCCAGTTTCCCGGTTGTTCACAGCTGTTTCTCTTTCCAGTTGAAGCTGTAAAAGTTCGTACGATCCCTTCAACCTCCACCCGATTGTGTAAAAACCCAAAGCTTTCCACGACCTTTGAGGAGACGAGTGTAGCAATGAGAAAAGGAGGTTTCAAAAATCTAACAAACTTTTTTCTCATTATCTGTGCTGGTACTTGAATTGTTAATCTGACGACCAAGTGTGAAAAATACTTGTGTGTCGGTTGATCCGATCGAGAGAACTTTTGCACAAAAAAAAGAGTCAATTAATCGAGTTGTAAAATTAATATGTATTTAGAATCGCTAACCTTTATACAGTTCATTTGGAATCGATGACGGACATCGTCAAAAGTTTCGATTGTCTCATGAAAAATGTCGTGATTGAGTACAGGTCAAATTTTATTCCTGGTGTACACCAAATGCCGTCATATAGCGATTGCTTTTCAGTTCAACGAATATATTTCTTCCGTCCTTTTGCAGCAATAAGTGGATAAATTCGAATTTTCAGAAATCTAAATGCAGTACGCAATTAAAGAGAGTGGAATTGACAATTCAGGACGACTGGCCAGAATTTTCTAAAGAGTCTATTTCTTTCTTTTCGTGAATCCCAGTTTCCCGAAATGCACCTGAATTTCGAAATTTCTTTATTTTTCTTTGAATCATAGATGAAATCATTTTGCTTTTTTGAAGTTTTGATGTGAATTGAATACCGAGGAAACCACAAATTAAATGCGATCCGTCTGTTTGTCTTTATTATACTGGCTATTAGCTGAATTATTTTATAATTCGGCAAAAATTGCTAAAGTTACTGCTCCTTTTTTTTTTACAAAATGGCTTACTTTTCCTTAAAATTTTTCAGCATCAATCTTCGAAATATTTCAATCATTTGAAATTTCATGGGTTTTTGAAGCAGGAATCAAGTTCATAGACCAATTTTGAACAATTTTTTACGTTTCTGGGTGTCATTTATTAACAAATATAAAAAATATTGATCCTATGGGAACAAATGAGCAACGAGATTCCTTCAATCAAAGCATAATCATATCATCGTTTCATATTTTCCGAGGAAATGAAATACTGTATTTAAAAAAATATATATTTCTTCGATATTTTGCTTTGTCCAATCACATCGATACTTCAAACATTTCTTGGACTAAATTGTTTCTGAAAATAAAATTAAGAAGACGTGTAATTCTTGAAGAACTGACGCAATATTTTCAGAATTTTCCTAAATATTTGTACTTGTCTTCGTGTGTGATAAATACTGATGCAAATCTTGGCGAAACTTTCACACTGTCACGTTTTTCCGATTACTGTACAGTAACAGCAACAAGTGAAGTACTGTACGTGTTTCTCTCAGACACCAAAACAAAATCACAAGAACACAGTCAAACGGTTATACAAAAACAACTGCACACATGCAATCTCTATCTAGACCAGGGGTGCCCAAGATACGGCCCGCGGGCCAGATCTGTCCCGCGGAGGCTTTTCATCTGGCCCGCGGAGCCAGCATGGAAAATCTCCACAAAAAATTATGACACTCAAAAAGGAAAAATTGCAAGTTTTTCAAGATGTCTTCAGCCTGCAATTTTGATCAGGAATTTTATTAGGGCTTCATAAATTCTGTTATGATTCCTTCTAACCAAAAAGAACAGTTTCCAATGCTTTGTGATGTCAGTCATTCTGTTTTTCAGATTAAAGGACAGGGTTTTGCAATTTTGTATGACACTCAAAAAGGAAAAATTGCAAGTTTTTCAAGATGTCTTCAGCCTGCAATTTTGATTAGGAATTTTATTAGGGCTTCATAAATTCTGTTATGATTCCTTCTAACCAAAAAGAACAGTTTCGTTACGAAACACTACAGTCAGTAAGACAAAAAGTCTAATTTCCTGTCCCAAAACGTTAAAACATTAAGTTTAGGATGGGGTCGTAAAAAGACAGTACAAAAATTAAATTAACGTATAGAACTACTCCGAAAGATATACAGCAGCTTACCTTTTTTAATAGCATGAACAAAAATAAACCATCATATAAGAATGCAAATGTGAAGGGATATGGACACATTTAGAAAGACAATTTAACACTGGGCCAATTGGGATGGAAAATTTGAGACAGGGTCAATGTGAGACAGGGCCAATATGAGCCAGGGTGATTTAGTGACAGGGACACTTGGAGGCATGGACATTTAGATTCAAAGACAATTTCATGCTCTCCCAAAGCAACTCTGCACAAACAAAAATATGTTTCTTTTGCTTATTTTCTGGTTTTCTCCAGATTCTTAGTGAATCTTAAGGAGTTTTCAATTGCACTAAAATTTCAGGTTGTCCTCAGATCCCCCCCCTCCTCCTCATCAACTCTGTACACCACTTTTTTATATTGCACTTAATTTGCTTTTTTGGCTTTAGCATGATTCAGTTTGCAGATGTTGTGCTTTAGAAGTAAAATATTTAAAATGCTTAGCTATACACATTCCTTTCCTCAACTCTGTACACCACTTTTTTATATTGCACTTAATTTGCTTTTTTGGCTTTAGCATGATTCAGTTTGCAGATGTTGTGCTTTAGAAGTAAAATATTTAAAATGCTTAGCTATACACATTCCTTCTATTAGTTGTGTGCCATGGATTTATTGTGCTCTGCTATGATTTTAGGTGTATTAAAATGTATAACAATGGGTCAATAGAGGAAGAGAGGAAAGACAAAGTTGGTGTTTTAAAGAACCTAAAAAAACTTCTGGTTATGCTCATGGGATGCTCATTCATGTCACTTCTTGACCAAGCAGTGCCATTTTTTGTTCTCTTTCACACCTTCAATATTAGATATCAGAGAGAAACACAGGAGCATCTTTTTGAAAATCCTTGGTAGAGTCTTACAGAGTATAAGAGAGACGGAGTTTTACGGAGACGGAATTTAATAGGGACGAAGGTTTTCAAAGACGGAGTTTAGGAGGGAGAGAGGTTTTTACAGACAGAGGTTAACCGGGACATTCAAAATGCCAGTCCGGATTTATCCTAGATTCAAATGTGAATTTAACTGGCTTATTGATTGACAAAAACCTCATGAAAAATCCCCCACTATTACCTAAATTTGATGCCAGACACATATTGGCCCTGTTTCAAAATGCCAGTCCGGATTTATCCTAGATTCAAATGTGAATTTAACTGGCTTATTGATTGACAAAAACCTCATGAAAAATCCCCCACTATTACCTAAATTTGATGCCAGACACATACAGTATCTTGGTTTTGACTATCCCAAAAAGACCATGAACATTGCATGTGTTGAGAGGTTGAATGAATGCTTCTTTGCATAAAGACCAAATTTTCAAATTCTTAAGAAAGGTTATACATGCTGTGAAATCATTATATATACACAATATTTTCTCCACATTAGTTACTTTCTGAAACATAGGCTTTTATTTTTGTTTCAGCCAAAATTATTCTCAACAATTAAATTCACTCATAATTTTCAATTGCTTATTGCTTTTGGACTCTGGTTGAATCTCTTTGAAAAGTTTTGCAGATTGCATTCTATTATTCCATTAAGAAAAATCCAGTTATAAAGTAATGAAGATACAAGTTGAACTGTAACAGTAAAAATGAAGCAGAAAAGTTTGTAGATGAAAAAAGTCAGATAGCCAGATAATGAAAATCCTGAAATGTTAATTGAACTTGATTATAGACTAGAACTTGATTGCATGTCAATTAGAATAGTTTAAAGTTGAACCATCCCAGAAATTCATGAATTATGCAATGTAGTGGACAAGATTTCTTCCTTTTTTCCATTATTGTGGCCCGCATAATGCTCTTCTACTTCAATGTGGCCCTTGGCCACTTCTGAGTTGGGCACCACTGATCTAGACCATTTCATCAGAAACGCTTCTGCCCCATCATCTGCTGTGTCTCAAATGACGCAAAATCGAGCCATGAACTGATCACTTGTGCAGGTATAAAAGCGACAGTAGTGGCATTTCCCTGCTTTATCAGTCGAGAAAAACCTCACCAGTTTAAAAGAGTGAAGTGAAGTGAAATGATTGGTAAAGCGACGTTTGTTTCTCAAAAATCTAGAAACTAGACGCATTTATTTATTTTCAACACTCGTGTGATGCTTGGACTAAAACCCCTGATGCACTTCCGTCGATTACGTCCACGTTTTATATGGAGTAGCTTGAACATGACTGAGGAAATACAATATTTTTGAAAAATATAAATCGGGAATTTAGAGGATAAAAAAAGATTTACTCGTCAGTTGGGACCCTTGAATGGATTAAAAATGAGCCATAAACAGACTCTTACAATTTGATGAAAAGACTCTTTCCAAAATCTTAGAGCACCAAGATAAACTGTTAACTTTACTTGATTTCTCATCAAAGATTCTCTTCTAATTGTATCATCAACTAAACCTTATCTGGGAGCAGGCTGAACACCTTGTGCTGCTTTAAATTGAGTTCAGTAATTGCCTTATGCTGCAACTCTTATTATTGAAATTTTTTGTCATCATGGAAGGGACAAATGGGTGGGTATGTTCATCAGTTGTGCAATTGTACATTTTGGGATGTATTTCCTTTTCTTTCAATATTCATATGCAGCTTATTTCTGTTTCCAATTCTGATGTGATGGAATGGGTTTGGATTAAAGTGAGTGGGGAGGGGATTCGGTTCGGATGTTAAAACATTGCTTGAACCTTGTGAATACTGAAAAGCAGAAAATAAAAAGTGCTGTTGAATGCAATTCAACTGTCACATGAAAATCACTTGAAAAAGTAGAGAAAAATCAGTGGATCAAAAAAATCTGCATCTACCTTCATGTTTCATTTGCCTTCTCCATAGAAGACAACTTTTAGGAAGAAATGTAGCAGTCTCAAATTTTAGATGATTTCTTCAGCATTCATATTACACATTTCTTTAAGCAGTTTAATGAGATTCTTGAGCATTTTTTCTCTCACCACGCTTGATACTTTTTACAATTTTTAGGTTTGAAAGATGATGCAAAAAATGAACATTCTTGCATCATATGTTTATGATGCAAACCGTGTACTTGGGGGATTTTTAAAGGAGCTGGTGGACAATCAATGAGGAAATCTTACCCTACTATTAGAATATTGTCATAACATTTTTTTGTCAAAAACTGCTTATTTTCTAAAAGCCTTCCTTGATTACATTTTATAATTTCTTCCCTCTGCTGATTTAGACAAAGAGTCAAACGCTGCACAAGAACTGATATATATTTTCAAATTAATTATCATTTCTCAGTCTGAGTTTCGAATATTACCTTGACTGGGAAAAATGGTGTGCGCTGGAGCAGCTATTGCCGCTGGAACAGGAGCAACAACTGTCACTGGAGGTCTTGCAGGTCCAGCAGTAGTCAGCAGTGTTCCAGCTGCGGCTGGTGGAGTTTCAACTGCACTTGAAAGTGCTGCAACTGCTGGTAATGGTGAGTTTCTTTCCAGGGGTGTCCCATACAAATCATTATTTCCCAGCCTTTGGTCCAGGGACCAGTGATGATCCACAAAAGTTTTTTGCCTGTATGTGGGAAATTTTCTTTAGCATAATAAATGTATCAAAAGCAGCAATGAAATCTTTATTTGAAAAATTTGGAAAGACAATGGCAGTTGAAATTATCTGATGAAAAATAAAGGTTGTCTGTTCTCCTAATGAACATTGAACTTGTCAAGTTTTACTTTTACCTGATGATGAAATACGTTATCTTAATCTTTAATTCTGAGAAACCTTTCTTAACCCTTGGGTGGCAGCAGATTCTTTTGCATTGCATGGCAGTTCTGGGATTGTTTGCAGGCTTCTGTATTTTGGTTTGACCAAAGGCCACCAAGAGGCAGATTTTTCTGATAAGCTAAAGTTGGGAAAATCCTGCAAAAGAAAGCCATTGTTTTGATAATACCGCAATGCTAATCCCATCATGGCATGAATGCCGAAAAATGCCACCCAACAGTGACTTCTATTTTTTTTTTCTGCAGGAATGGCAAAAAATCAGGATTTTCCCCAACTTAAGCTCTTCTAATCATTTTTGTTTCCCCTTTTTTCTACTCTTTGTGGCACACATTTTGTGGATAAATCCCAAAACCTCCGCCCAAGGGTTTAAAGCCCACCTTTCAAATTTTTTCAAGACATTCTACTAAATCTGATTCGGTGGTGTTTCAATAGGAATAAACTGCAAAGCCTTTGATTTCACTTCAATGTCTGTCTATTTATTGCATTCAGCTGCAGCAGGTGCAGTGACAGGACTAGCAGCAGTGGCGGCTCTTCTTTCTGGGCCCGTGGGTTGGGCTCTGCTGGGAGCAGAACGAAAGAAGAATTAATCAAGAACTGATGGTATTTCAAGAAATTTTGAAGGTTTTCTAATGTTAAATGCTCAACACTGGGCTTACACCGCGATGATGCAATAAACGCGGTTTTTTGTTGTTGTTCTTTCTCCGTGGGGGGCAGAATTGTTTTTTTTTCTTAAGTTAGGCCAGTGACAATTTGAAGAAAAGGAATCCTTCGCTGTCTTCGGTCGTTTGCTTTCTGAAATAAAATTTATTTTGGAATATTGTAAGTGGTTATTCCCTGCGATATTATTTAAAATCTAAACAATGATTATTTTAATCGCGATAATTTCAAACGTGAAATCCGCTTTTTCTTGTTTTGCAGGAACAGTGTGTGAAGTAGTGCTTTGAAATCCGTTCGTGAAACTTAGTGCGTCCACATTTCGACGTCTCATCCCGAATCCAGGTAAGAAAATTTTTTTTTAATTTTACCGAAAGTAGCAAGCAGAACTCGACTGGTTTCGAAGAAGTAAAAATTTTTTTGGATCGCAAATGAATAGAAGAATATTTTCGCTTCAGTCCATAAAATCTTTGTTTCAAATTTCATCTATCCTTTTTTGGCACAGTTTTTTTATTTTAGGGGAAAAGTGTGCATACTATTTTTACGTGACAATATCGACTGGATCTTATTCTAGAAAATTACAGAATTGTTGGTTAATGTTGGGAGGAATGCATACCCGAAAAAAAATTCTTTCGGGTGCGAAAGTAGTGTTGTGGGTTCAGTATGAAGCAGATATATAAAAAAAAAATGTAACCTAGAGCTGGTATTCGTGTGAATCATTATCCCGAAACCCTGTTGACACTGGGTTCAAGCTCAGCTCTTTCCAGTTTTCCAGCTGTTCCTCTTTCCAGTTGAAGCTGGAAAGGATCGTACGATCCCTACAACCTCCACCCGCTTGTATAAAACCCCAAAGCTTTCCACATCCTTTGAGCAGACCAGTGCAGCAATGAGGAGAGGGGGTTTCAAAAAATTAACAATTATTTTTTCATTATCTGTGCTGGTACAGTACTTGAATTGTTAATCTGACGACCAAGTGTGAAAAATACTTGTTTGTCGGTTGATCCGATCGAGAGAATTTTTTTTCATTACAGCCCAAAAAAGATTCAATTAATCGAGTTGTAAAATTAATATGTATTTATAATCGCTAACCTTTATACAGTTCATTTGGAATCAATGACAGACATCATCAAAGGTTTCAATTGTCGCATGAAAAATGTCGTGATCGAGTACAGGTCAAATTTTATTCCTGATGTACACCAAATGCCGTCTTTTAGCAATGGCTTTTCAGTTCAACTAATGTTTTTCTTGCCGTCCTTTTGCAGCAATAAGTGGATAAATTCGAATTTTCAGAAATCTAAATGCAATACATAATTAAAGAGAGGAAAATAAAAATTCAGGACGACTTACGAATATTTTCTATTTCTTTCCGTGAATCCCATTTTCCCGACAAGCACTTGCATTTTGAAATTTATTAATTTTTCGAAGGCTCAGAGAAAATAATTTTGATTTTTTTAAGCCTCGAAAAGCAGGGAGTTTTGATGTGAATTGAATACCGACGAAACCTCAAATTAAATGTGATCCGTCTGTTTTTCTTCGTTATGCTGGCTATTAGCTGAATTATTTCATAATGCGGCAAAAATTGCTAAAGTTACTGCGCTTTTTGAAAAATTGGGCTTACTTTTTCCGAAAACATATTTAGCATCATCTTCAAAATATTTCCATAGTTTGTAAAATCTTAATTTTTTTGAAGTAGAAGGAATCAATTTCATTTGCCAATTTTGTCCTACAACCATTTTTTTACGTTTCTGGGTGTCATTTTTTCTAAAATAAAATTAAACATCGATCCTCTGGGAACAAATTAGCAACGGTATTCCTCAAATCAAAGCATAATCATATCATCCTTTCATATTTTCCTATGAGAAAATGACGTACTATATTCAAAAATTTGTTTTTCGACATGTTTCTTTTTCCAAACACATTTATATTATGAACATATCAAGGACTAAATTGTTCCGGAAAATAAAATTAAGAAGACAAGTAATTCTTGAATAACTGACGCAAACTTTTCAGAATTTTCCGCAGTACTTGTACTCTTCTTCGTGTATGAGAAATACTGATGCAAATCTTGGCGAAACTTTCACACTGTCACGTTTTTCCGATTACTGTACAGTAACAGCAACAAGTACAGTACTGTACGTGTTTCTCTCAGACACCATAACAATATCACAAGAACATAGTCAAAAAGTTATAAAAAAAACTACAGCATACATGCAATCTTTATCTAGACCATTTCATCAGAAACGCTTCTGCTCCATTATCTGCGTCTCAAATGACGCAAAATCGAGCAATGAACTGATCACTCGTGCAGGTATAAAAGCGACAGTGGCATTTCCCTGTTTTATCAGTCGAGAAAAACCTCACCAGTTTAAAACAGTGAAGTGAAGTGAAATGATTGGTAAAGCAAAGTTTTTTTCTCGTAAATCTAGAAACCAGACGCATTTATTTTTTTCAACACTGGTTTGATGCTTGAACCAAAACCCCTGATGCATTTCCGTCGATTACGCCCACCTTTCACATGGAGTAGCTTGAACATGACTGAGGAAATGCAATATTTTTGAAAAATATAAATTGGTAATTTTGAAGATTTAAAAAAAAAGATTCGCTTGTCAGTTGGGACCCTTGAATGGACCAAAAATGAGCCATAAACTGACTCTTAAAATTCAATGAAAAGACTCTTTCCAAAATCTTAGAGCACCAAGATAAACTGTTAACTTTACTTGATTTCTCATCAAAGATTCTCTTCTAATTGTATCATCAACTAAAGTACTAAACCTTATCTGGGAGCAGGCTGAACACTTTGCGCTGCTTTAAATTGAGTTCAGTAATTGCCTTATGCTGCAATTCTTATTATTGATATTTTTTGTCATCAGGGAAGGGACGAATGGGTGGGTATGTACATCAGTTGTGCAATTGTACATCTTGGGATGTATTTCCTTTTCTTTCAATATCCATATGCAGCTTATTTCTGTTTCCAATTCCGGTGTGATACAATGGGTTTGGATGAAAGTGAATGGGGAGGGGAAGGGTTTGGATGTTGGAACAAAACCTTGTGAATGCTGAAAAGTAGAAAATAAAATGTGCTGTTCTATTCAATTCCATTCAATTTCAGTTGAAATCACTGGACAAAATAGAGAAAAATCAGTGAAAAAAAAATCTGCATCTACTGTCAGGAATAAACCCAACAGATAAAGATTTAGGAAGGAAACCTTATTTTGAGAAGAAATTGATTTGAGTAGGTTTGAATAAAACACAGAAATTCGGTCGGGCTGCGACCGGGGTGAGAACACCCTATTATAAAGTTGATATATTCAGGTAAAATAGCAATTGACACTCAAGTGAATTCGCTCGCGAAGTTTTGGATGAACCGCACGCTCGAGAGGTAGAAACCGGACTGT